TAAATGTGCACTTAAGCATATAGGCAGCAAAGCAAAATATACTGTATAAACATGTAACCATAAGTGGGCGTGGCTACGCCCATTTTCCAAAAACGTATAATATTCTTATTTTTCGTCTAAAATTTATTGCGAATATCAATTTTGAGTGAATAATCTTCAGTAGTTAATAAAATATCGTAGTTTTCGTATTTCTGAAAATTACCGTTATACCGTGGGCGTGGTTACAGTCCGATTGCGCCCATTTTCAATGCCAACCTACCTTGGATAACTGGAAACCTACATACCAAATTTCTTTGAGATATCTAAATTTTTGCTAGAGTTATCGTGTACACGGGCGGACGGACAGACGGACAGACGGACGGACAGACAGACATGGCTTAATCGACTTCTCTATTCATTCTGAGCATTTATGTATACATTTGTCTATATCTATCTCGATTCGTTTTGGCTGTTACAAACAACCGTTATGTGAACAAAGTTAATATACCCTTGTGCACAACAGTGATCGGACTTTAAAAAAATTCTGTGTGGTAGAATCTGGGGAAAAATGTGGTAGATTTAAAAAAAAATGTGGTAGATCTCTGTATTTGAATCAAACTCTGTAGAAAAATTAAAAAAAGATTTCACCTAAAAGGCAAACTTTTTAATCAGAATCTAAAAACATTTAATTTTAGTATAATAAAGTGTAATATTGAAGTTGCTAAAAATTGCGTTGAGTGTTGGCAATTTTTTTCTTCACAGAGTAAAGCAGTTCTTTCCATATTAAGATATTTTTGAACACATTTTAAGAGATTTCTGCAATCTTGCGGAGTACTGCCAGCTTTTCTTTTTACCACATCACGAAGTAGCGAACAAATATGGCACGTTCCAGAAACAGCTAATTGGGATTTGCCGATTTTGACAATTCTCAAGAAAAAGTAAACAACGCCTCAGAAACCTTATATGCACTTAAATTTACTAATACTTTCACACAAATCCCCGGTTTTTAACATTTTCGCTATTAATTCTTTTTATAAATCATATATTTTGAAATTTAACACAATAACACCACGGCTCCTGTCGAAAAATTGATATTACTGAGAGAATCTACTATTTTACAGTTTATTTCATCCTCCCATTCGGCTTTGTTTACTTTTACTTAAGAAATTTCATCGTCGCCGGGAATGCAGAATTTTGAATTATATCATTCTTGTTACCATATCGTGTAAAATTAAGAAAATATATCAAGCAAAAATAAAACTACTCAAAAATGCGAATATGTGGTAGATTTCAGACCTTGAGTGGTAGATGTGGTAGATGCTCAAAAAAGTGGCAGATCTACCACAATGTGGTAGAAGTCCGATCACTGGTGCACAAGTGTGCTCGGGTATAAAAAATCGAAGTAATGCATACATGCACAGTTTCGGTTGAAACCGAAATAATGCATATGGCAGAAACCGAAATAAAGCATACATGCACAGTTTCGGTTGAAACCGAAATAATGTCTAAATGCACAGTTTCCATATGCGCAATTTTGGTGCCCCTGGACACACAGCTGATTTCGCAAACGCAAATGTTATTGACAAAGAAAAAAGAGAGTCAACCCGATATACATTGGAGAGCCTAAGAATAATGCAAAGAAGAGAAAATACTATGAACAGAAAGGAAGATATAGACAACATGGCGGCCGCATACATTTCATGTTTATGATTATAAACTAACTTTTAGTATTGACAAAGCTACCACAAAAGTTGGTATAGATTATTAGTAAGTATTTTGCTTCCAATAATTCGTGTGTATTAATGTTAAAACATTGTGAGTTAAATTGTTTGTCCTCAAACTCAATCTGTGGTTTTTCTAGTCATTTTTAATTCCATATATATATATGTTTTTATGTTTCCATTTATTATTTTTATTATAATGTGTTTTTGTATTTTATGGTTCATGACAGATCTAATTAAACGGAATTGCCTTTGAAGAAGCTAAAAATGTTATAGCGAAACGTTGTTCCAGAAAGTGAAATAACGTAGTTTTATTTGCACAAAACATTTCGATCAGACCAGCCTGGTAACATACAATTGAATAAATTACGAACTGATCGGATAATAAAATATATAGAATAATTAAAATACTTTTTTGCCAAAGGTCCAATTTCGAACTTCGGAGGCTCATACATATCTCGATTTCGGAGGTTAACTTAGAAAAAACGGAGAAATGACTTTTTTAATTATAACTCAATCCCTTAAAAAAAGTTCGTTTGGTCGAATACCTAGCCATGTGCTGTACAGTGTAATTATTCAAGTCGATTCGGCAGTTTTTTTGTTCAAAGCATTGACATACTAACATACATTTTTTATATGTGACAGGGAAAATTAAAAGGACTCACGCACAGTGCCGCCTAAAGCGCTGGTTATACTTGCATTGTGCTGCAGCGCATAACATGTGTATTGTCACATATCGAATCTGTTTAATGAGTTTTGCACACAGACGATTATCCGACGCAGCGCATGACAGGGCATGACAGCGAAGTCTGCTGAATTTTGATTTTTGCCTATGTGACATTTGCAAAGAGAGCTGACGCTCTCATTTGTGCACTGCCATATGTCATTTACACCGAGATTTGACATTCGACATTTGGAAAGCGGCAAAAAAAGCGGGCGAATGTACGTATGAAATTATTTATGAGAAATATTAAATTTTAATTGTTGTATTGTTTTTATATTATTTCAGAATGATTGATGACGAAAGGCTGGTCGATTTGGTGCGGGCGAATGATGCCATATACAATAAAAGAAGCCTGTCATATAGATTTCCGGAAAAAAAAGAAGGCGGCGTGGGCAAGTGTGGCACAAGAGCTGGGTGCAACAGGTTTGTAAAATTTTAATTATATGCATTTTCAATCCATTTATTATTATGATATACCTACAGAAGATCAGTGTACCAGACGTTGGCAGTCCTTGCGGGAAAGGTATTCCCGAGAACTAAAAAGATTGGATGCACCATCGGGGAGTGCGGCCGCACTGACGGAAACATGGCCATTGTTTGAAAGCATGGGCTTCCTTAAAGAATTTGTAAAGCCCAGGGCGTAGGTGTTTAATTTCTTTACATTAGTGGTATTCACCGAATTGAGCAAGTGGCCTGGCACTCTGGCAGCCCACTTGCTCACTTTGGTGAATAGCACTATTAAGTTTTATTCACTGTGTTTTATTTAATAACATTAAAACAATTTACATTTTAAGAACACGATGTACAACGAATATTTTATCCGAATTTCCTACATCTCCACCTTCGCCAACACTTTCTTCGTCATTTTCGTTGACAGAGACGTTAATGTTTACCGGTTCACCTGATGCAGTGGAGGCGACGTTCTCAACTGAGGAGTTGGCATGTGAGCAACCAACGCCGACAACTTCGCAAAAGAAACGAAAACGGCAGGAAAGCGATGCAGATGGGGAATTCCGTGAAGCATGTCAATTGTATAAAGACATGTGTAAAGAGCGGGCAGCACAAAAAGGAAGCCAGACCATACGTGCTTTCGGGCAAATGATTGTGTCCACAGTCAGTGAGATGAGTGAAGCGAAACAGGTAAAGGCGATACAAGTCGTCACAAATACCATCATGACCATCAAATTGGAGCCTGAAGAATAGGAAGGTAGGCTGAACCCATATACTGCAGTGTTTTTAAATTAAAGGTTGTTTCTTTGCAGGTCGCAACTCTTAAGTCATAGCTTTTAGACGCTAATATATATTGAGTTAAACTCGGAACTGAATTTGTTGATTAAAAATCGAAGTGTATTAGAATATTTGTGTTTTTTAAGTTACAAAAACGTTTTTGAAAGTGGTTAAAATAGTTTACATTTTTAAATCAGCAATACAAAAACAATTTTTAATTGTTAAATCTTAGGTTGCATACGTTCAGTATGTAAAAAATGGGCAGATGGTGATTTTTGAGTAAATATTTTACAAACTTTTCAAATAAATTTTTCTTATAATAGTGTATGAATATCCAAAAAATATTCAAGTTTTCATCAAAATTTTAAAGTTTGTAACCTGAATTTCTTTAAAAGGTTTTAGTATGCAGTTTTTGAAGCCTCTAAAAATTCGCGTTGATTTGTGATAACTTATCTATTAACGATCTTTGCTGTTTTTGTATACAAATAATATTTTATTGAAAAAAATTCGGAGTACATACTATAAAAAAAAAAAAACAAGGCAAATCAACGCAAATTGTTAGAGGCTTCAAAAACTGCATACTGCATACCATTTGCTCAATTTTGTTACATACTGTATGAATGGAACCTAATGTTTAACAATTATAAATGTGTTTATATTACTGATTTAAAAATTAAAAATATTCCAACCAGTTGCAAAAACTTTTTCTTTTTAATTGTAACTTGAAAACATTCTGAATCTTTTAACAAAACCCTCCATTTGCTAATTTTTTTTACATAGGGTGCATTCCAAATCGTCAAAATACAAAGCATCACTCTCTTTTATTTCTAAACCTCAGCAGATTGTAATGCCCAATGTGCGCAACCACGGTGAGATGCTAATTTTCAACTAGGTTGCGCAAGCTAGACATTTTGTTCTAGTGCGGCTTAGAAATAAAAGGGACTGATGCTTTGTATTTTGACGTTTTGGAATGCACCCATACTCTATGTATGTATGTATGCAACCTAAGGTTCAACAACTTAAAAATGAATTTGTATTGCTTTCACTGCAATCATAATTCACGTAATTTGTTATATGAAGTTTTTTTATTTTTATTTTATATGATTACTACTATATATGTATGTATATTGAATTGTACCTGTACACATATTTAATACTCGGGCATGTGCTGCAAATCGTACGATCTCAGCTTTTGAATTCAATGCTTCTGTTTTGATGATACGTTGGTCGTATAACCTTACATTGTACTTTTAATCA